GCGGGCCCAAAGGCACTTAAACCGCCGGAGCGGACCCAAAGGCACAAAGCCGCTGGAGCGGACCCAAAGGCGCAAAACCGCCGGAGCGGACCCAAAGGCACAATGCCGCCGGAGCGGGCCCAAAGATGCAAAGCCGCCGGAGCGGACCCAAAGGCACAATGCTGCTGGAGTGGAACCACTTTTAGCTGGGAATTGGGTAATCCGTGCCGTGCTCCCCTAGAAAAAATGATGAAATGGCAGTGAGGCCTTCAACTGCAACAAAATGGATGATTGGGTCAGCCGACAAATTTATAGCGGCCATGAGTCTCCGGCAGGCCCAAGACGCACATCTTCAGCGTCGTCGCCGTAGATGAGGCTCAGTGGCTTCGCCAGCCACTCACAGATGTCGCAAAATGGCGCTGCTTTGAAAGCAATGCCATTCTGCTTCAAGAAGTGCTCCAAGCTGCCCACGCCGCCGCGCAGCAATGCCAGCTTCAATGGCTGACTCAACGCAGGAGGCTCGCCGAATGCCCCGCACCAATCATTGGCTGGAAAACCGAGCGGGTCCATCAGTGAACAGGGACCAAGTGTTGTTGTCTTCTTCGCATTAGATGTTCGAAGTATGCTGGTGTGTATTTACGTGGTGCAGAGTTCCAAAAGTGCTACCGGGTGGGAGCAAGTGTTGTTGTCTTCTTCGCATGCTGGTTGGTTGAAGTCTGCACATGCTGGTGTGTGCTTGCTTGGTGCGGAGTTCTTCTCACATGTTTTCCTCTGTGTGTGACTCAGATCACCTTTGGTGAACTTGAGGCTGGGGTGCACTCAGTTGGCCATCTTCAGCACAGCCAGGCATGCTGACAGTCAGTAGCCAGGTCTCGCCCTCCAACGCGGGCGCATCGAGGTGTGGAGGGTGGGGATGTCAAAGGGGCAGATCTTTTTGAATCAAACACCTACAAATCTCTTCCTCTGAAACGGCCTGCAAAAAAGATTCGGCTCCGACCGTATCTGTGAACCAGCCAGATACACTGATAGAACGCTATGGTGTGCATGAGGAATAGACATGGCATAATATGAAAGAACATCTGACACTATTTGCACCTTTTCATACAACCCTTTCAACTACAACAAGGTTCAACTACTAAAACCTGATGATGACAGGAAAACATTGATCACCTTAAGCAACACCCTAAACCCTAAACCAATCATCCATCAACCCTGCAAAAGAACACACCAAAACCGATTTTGTGGAAGAGAAGCACGTTCGTTTGGTGAAGAGAACCTTCTTTGATCTGACTCCAGAAAAAGAAAGGTGCTGTACGATGCGTCCGAAACTGTGACTTTCGACAGGAAATCCCCAATTCTTCTCATCAACGGTTGAATCTCCAAATCGAACCTCTTTCAACCAGTCTTGTTGAAACCAACTAAAAGCACCTCAACACAACACAGAAACCACCCAGTGCAGTTTGCTTTCAAACACCATGTTTTATTGTTTTCAGCCAGTTTTACACCTCTTTTTGGGACTCACTTAGGGCTCACCATTCTTTTCCAACAACCGCCCGCGCCTGCCGGCATGGCTCGCGTCACGGGGCGCGGAAGCCGCGCGCGCACGGGGCGCCCGGAGGCGCCTCGGGACGGACGTGGGGGAACGGGAACGTGGCGGTGGGGTGACTCGGTGAAGAAGGTCAGACATGGGTCATATACCAGGACCCTCCAAGTGGTGTCTATCTATAGCCCCTTGCCTGTTAAGGGGTGTCCATTCACCACCCTCTTCGGGGGTACTGGTATGATGTGTTTCTTTCTTTTCGTGTCTTTTGCTCTGCCGGAATTCGGGGGATAGCGGCCGATCCATAACAAGTTAAGCGCTTGATCCATAGAACATCGTGTAAGCCATTTCAACCCAGCTTTTTGACCTGTCTGACCAGTGCTGAACCCGTGGCGTTCGTTCAGCCCTCATAGTATGGAGGAGGCTACGTTGCTACCGCATGCTACCGCATGCTGTCGCTAGTGAAGGTGTCAAGAAGTCGAAAGGAAGTAACCTGAGCAATGCTGAAGTGACCAACAAACTCTCTGCAACAATCAGGACACTTTTGTTCAGAAACTTGGAGATCTGCGAGTTCGCTGGACACTTCCGAAGCGTTTGTCGCCTGAGTTCACAGGCTCCAGCACCAATCAACAGTTATATCTACCCGGTCAGGGCTCCAGTCGTACCAGCTCCGAAGGTATGACTGGAGTCTCCTGGCACCCTCCCCAGTCCCTCCAAGAGAGGTTACGTGACCTGAACTAGGGTCCTTCAACCTCTGTTGGCTCCTTATTCTATAAGAAGGTACGACTGGAGCCCAAGTTTGTTTCTGGCAGCCGAACGAGTCGACTGGAACATCCTGTCTGAACGGGGACTGTACACTTTAGCTGCAAGCGAGCAGCCATATTCAACTCGCAGCCCTGCTCCCTGATAGCACAGCATGGAGTGGCAGATGGCTTGGAGAAGGGTTGGCACACTTCACCAAGCTTGGGTGTTGGGTGATGCAGTTGATGTCTGCATCTGGAGAGAAAGGCCTTTGGAACTTCGACTTTTCTAGGTTGTCTCTTGAATGGCAGCCTTCGGCAGCCTCCGAAGAGTTTGGACCTTACCATTTACCCCCCCAATCCACAGCTATGAAGATGTTCTCCGAAACAAATCTAGGCCTTGTTCAAAAGCCATAATCAACAAGTCGCGCTATAGTCATCACGTCCGTGATTCATTCGCTTGCTCTCCTTGCAACATACTAGTATTTCATCCCCACATTCACCTGTTATCAACTGGCCCAATCCAGTGCGTGGTGTCCTGTCTCAACGTCTCAACTAAATCATGTCAGCATCCCCCAGTTGCTGGGATTCGCCCCATGCATCTATTTGCCCCATCTTCGTACATCCCAGTCTATCAGACTTTACGAAAAACCCACCGTCCATGTTAGGTGGCTCCTATCAGAAGTAGAGGCGAGGCGTTTTGAAAAGCAAGAGGAGCAAGCGGAGCAAGCAACAGTGGCTGAGGAGCTCAACAGAGCCACGGCTTCAAGCACCGGAAGACCCCTTTGCGGTGCCTTTTCTTTCCAAATGCTTGAGGGCAAATGCAAAAGATGTACAGACCTGACATGGTCCTACCCAGGTGTCAAGACATCAGCTGCCCACCCATCGACCCGTCTCCCGTCTCCCCGAGCGCGCCGCGCCTGATCCGCTCGAGCCCCCCCGCGGTCCCGCGGTCCCACCGGCGACGGAGCGAAGGTGGCGAAGCCGGTCCCACAGCGTCCAAGGTGAGGGACGAAGGGTTCCATATGCAAAACAATGGGTCACCGGGGGGGGTTGGAAAAATAGGGAGCCCCAAACCAATCCGGTCCATTGAAACATCCACACCATGACTTGGTCTAGCATGGGTGGCGAAAGGCTGAAGGGTTCCACCAGGTGGGTTTGGAATGGGGTGTCCCCAACTCTCATGGGGTGTCCACCCCCAAGAAGCTCAAAAGTTCTCCACTTTTTTTTTGGGTAGTACACCAACTCAAGGTCACTGTCAACTTACATGTTGTCAACTTAGATGTTCATGTGAACTGGCCCTAAACTCTGATGATGTGTTCATGGCTCTTCACCATCAAATCACATGAAACTGATCAGGAAGATATACAGCCAAACCCCAGCACCAGAAGTCCACATGGAAGGGGTTTGGAGGGCAAGAGGCAAATGGCTGAACACCAATGCCCATCCCCCAGATCTTAAATCCTGGTCTTAGGTTTCACGCATCTGTCGGGCATCGAGACGCCCCCAGTCTGCTGTAGCCCATGCACCCGGGAGTCCAGTGACTGTTTGTTTGGCAAAGTTCCCAAGGTGCCGTGCTAGAAAATGACGCCTTGTAATTACAGTTCCCAACATGAGGATTGTGTAACTACATGTCGCGAATTCCATCACAAGAAACGACCTTTCTCTAAGCAATCTGAGAACGGTTCCAAGTGGCATCCCAACTTTACATTCAGCAGCTAGGCCGACAAGAAGAATTTCTTTGGATGTGCCGCCGAGAGGAACAGGGCAGTTTTCAGATTGCCAAATAGGGATGTACCACTATACTGCTGTATACTTAATGTTCTTTTACCATATTTTACCTATTCCGTGAAACTGGAAGCTTGCATCATGTGAGTTTGCCCTAATGCTGGCTCCTTTGATGATTTTTGGGATGGACTAGGTAGGTTGGAGGCTGTGAAAATGAAGACATCCATTGACCAAAGAGATCATTCCTCTACCATTGGGGCTCAAGACGTGCCCTGATGTGTTGTTAGCGGACGCGCATTCGACGTGCTCAGCCATAGCGTGTTGGAAAGATTTTCGCTTCCGCTCAGTGCTGGTGGTTTGGGAGAAGGGTGCACATACATTGTGTGTTGGTTGAGTGACAGTGCATTGATTGTTGTTGAGTTGTGGCCTCCGCTTCCATATTTACAGAGGCCATCGCTAGTAGGTTGGAGGCCATCACTTCTAGATTGGAGGCCATTGATTCTGGGTTGGAGGTAATCGCAATTAGGTTCCTTCTGCTATTATGCCATCGCTTCTAGGTTGGTTGTTGATGCCTACTCACCCAAGCTGCAGGTGACTGAGTTGTAGGATCTCTTCGTCTCTTGTGCTTCACGGGCGGTGTTGTGCCAAACCAAGCCCGTGTTTAAGGTGTATTGCTGGCCGGCTACTCTAGAATGCGCATGGGGGTAGGCATAAAAGATAGTCAGGCTGGACTTGACTCAATCGAATTTCTTGGACGAATTCTCAAAAGCTGCGGCCAGCTCGGGACACTTCCCTAGTGAAAGAACTGGGCAAAAGAGCTCTTTGAGGGTTTCTCTGGCCGCAGCGAAAAACACCGCCGACGAGCGGTTGATGCAAGGCTGGATGACAGGAGAGCACTGCCGAATGGCCAAGCCTCTTGAATCAAGCAGTAAGTTCCTCCAGTCAAAAAGGGCCATGTTTATTATTCATGTTCTCATGATGTTTTCGCCTCCTCCGGCTGTTCAACAATGGATCCAAAGAGCAATGATGGCCCGACTCCGCGTCTACACAATCTCCTCAACTGGCTTAGCTTGCGCAAACAACATCAGGGGGCTCAGGTTGCCGAGTGGCCAAGACGTATGGAGAATGCACGCGAGTCTCCCTAGCTTGCCAAGACCATTGAACAAATGGTGGCCTGGTGTTGTAATGTAATCTAAAATCCTTAAAGTTCGCTGAGAACCATGAGTTGGAATCCTAGGAAGTATGATATTTTGGATGCATAGAGATGCCATTTGATAACCCCCAATTCCCTCTTCAGTGCCTTGGGAACCAAACCATGGCGAAAGAAACTGCAAACGGCGGCCAAGAAATTCTGGCATGTTCTGCTGTTTTCTAGTAGGTTGGAACATGTTGGAGGCCATCGCTAGTAGATTGGAGGCCATCGCTTCTAGAGGTTGGAGTCCATCGCTCGTAGGTTGGAGGCCATTGCTCGTAGGTTGGAGGCCACCGCCAGTAGCCAGTAGGTGGGAGGCCATCGCTAGTAAGTTGGAGGCCATCGCTGTCAGGTTTGAGTCCATCACTGTTAGGTTGGAGGCCATGGCTCATAGGTTGGAGGCCATCGCAGTTAGGTTGGAGGCCATCGCTATTAGTAGGTTGGAGGCCATCGCTTCTAGGTTGGGGGCCATCGCTAGTAGGTTGCTAGTAGGTTGGACGCCATCGCCAGTGTTGGAGGCCATTGCTATAGTAGGTTGGAGGCCATCGCTAGTAGGTTGGAGTCCATCGCTTCAAGGCCGGAGGCCATCGCTAGTAGGTTGGAGGGCATCGCAATTAGTTAGTCTTTTATCATCTTCAGAATGACACTCCATCAGATTTGACAAACAGTATGATGACTATTCTGAACAGTAGAAATCAAAAACAACACTGGCGGAAGAACAACAACTGGAACTGCAGAAACACAGAATAGCGGCATAGCGCAAAAGGAAACATAAGAGGCTTGAACACTAAGAGATAACACATGTTGCTCCAAACTGACCAAAGGTGAACTGTTGAGACCTTCGGTTTTTTGATCCAAAAGGTCTCAGATCGAATCCCTGCCAGAAAAGCAGACCCCATTTCGAGAACATCCGAATGAGGCACCATCCGGGACCCGTCGCCGTGGAGGACACTCCCTGCGCGAAAATACGAATCCGGACGGCCCAGATTTGGTGGCTCCTGTTGCCCAGGCCCTGTCCTTCGTGGAGCTTTAGCCTTAAGTCGAGGCGCATCTGTAATCAGCCCAAATGGAGAGTTGGGTCTGGCTGTGAATTAAGAAAGACCCGAACAGGAACAGGTGACTGAACTTGAAGAAAAAGGCTGTTTCGTCAGCTTTTTCGTCGTTGTACCGACTGGGCAAAACCAAGCATCGGCTTTTTCACTTTTGTGACCTGCTGTACTAGCTACTGCTCACTGGCTCATGGCTTCAGCTGCACCTCTGACAAAGAGTTCTGTTCATTAACTGGCGCCCCAGTTGGGCGCATTTCGATCCTTTCGCTCACCGCCTATGCTGGCAATCTTTGCCTGCTAGGCAGCCGATACACTCCCTTCGGCCCAGACTCGATTACTCGGTCAAGCTTGGAGCTGGTGAGGAGCATAGCCCTCGAAGTGAGTCGGTCGCCCTTGAGGGCGCCTCTCCGCCCAACGCCACGGCCACGGCCATGGCTGACGATGGCGGGGTCGAAGAGGTTGGAACAGGCAGAGATGCCTCGCTCAAACCGTCGGCGGACGGCGCGCTGAAAGCTGATGCCACTTGGCGCAAATGAGAAATTATGAGGTGGAAAGCACTAAGAGTTGTATCATCATCCAAAGCATGCCGGGCCTTGAAACACCTTCATGGCTTCCTCCAGCATGTGGCGACTATACTAGGTGTTATCTTTCTTAGCTCATTGAGAAGCAAGCGGACAAAACTGCCTGTCCAATAAAATATCTCTTAAAACCGGTGCCTTGAGCACGAAGATGAACGCAAAACTGATACAACGAGTGGACATTCCAAGGGCAACTGGCCGAGTCAACTTGCGTTGTCAGCATCTGCCCAAAACGACTCCGCGGAAGTCAATTTCGTGCCTGCGTGCCTTCTTGGAAGTACGCAGCATTCGACTGCATGTTTCCCGATTCTTCAAACTGGTGCTTCAAGCCTGCCTGAATCGCTTGGACTAGCAGGAGTTGTTCATGCATCAAGCGGGGACAACATGCATGGCCAACACTCGACGTGCAACACATCATCTCTTTCACGCTTTCTGCGATGTCGGACAGAATCACCCTGCCAGGGGCTCGCATGAAGGAGTCACGGACGCTTTCTGAAGATGTGCCTCTGCACAGGGTTAGTAGAAGTACTGAAACTTTTGGTCAAGTCAAACCATGCCTAAAAGCCCAAGAGTGCTTCAGATTCTTCAACAACACTGAATATTTGTATCACCTGCCTGGAGATTCTTCTCTTCTATTGCTTTCGAACCGTTCCGCCGGACATAGGTAAACTAGCCATGGGACTGGATTATTTGCCGACCCTTCAACCCTTCAAAGACCTCAAAACACTCCAACTACATTCTATCAGGTTGGAGGCCATGGCTATTAGCCTGGAGGCCATTGCTCTTATGCCAAGAATGCAAATACAATTCCTTCGATCTGCCAGTGAACGGATGCTCCAAAAAGCGGATCCACCTTCTCCGCACCGAGCCTCACCGGCTGCTGCGGATGTCATGCAAATGTGGCCCAAAGGGTCCCATGCCACGGATCTGCGGTCCGCAGCGGAGTGGGACGGCGTCCGTCGGTCACATGAAAGTTCACCATGAAAACCGCCGAGTTCTGATGTGACATAGATTATACAGTCGCTCACATCCTTTAAACCAGCTGAAAACCAGCCGTTTGAACCCTGTTTCGTTTTCAGCCACGCATGCCGCCACCTGCGGCACTGGGGCACTTCGGGCCACCCCTGGCAGAACCGGGTTCCCACAAACGACGGTTCAGGATCATGTCGTACAGGAGGCGACAAGTCCCTGGGCTTCCAACAACCATTAATTTAATAGGCTTTACCGAATCAACTAAGGATTTTACACTACAAAAACCAGGTCTGGCCCATGCTTTAAATGGTCTTGGATGTCTAGGGAGTCATTATACAACCAGGAGTCAGATCTCGGGGCGCGAACGGAAGTTGGGGCACACCCTGTCATCCACGGCCCCGTCGGATGGGTTGGCCTCCTCGCAGGAGGTGTTCTGTGGCTCGTCCCATCCGACGGGGCCGATGTGATGGTCGGCTCTGTTCGGGGCAGCGGGTGAGCTCCTGCCATGGATATACCTGGACCCGACGGACCGTTCGTACCTTGGAAAATGGGACATGACATGACCCCATCAAAAATCAGGTATACAGTAGTAACAAGAAGCTATTAGGAACAAGTGCATCGCTTCTAGTAACAAGTGCCTTACTAGTAGTACAACTGAGTTTTTCTTTTTCCCAAGGTACGAGGGAACTCGGGTCGACTCCAGGTACTTGTGACTCCTTGCTCCGACGGGTCCAAGGAGGTGGGGTGACCGACTGGCGTTGGACCACGCCCACGCTGGTCTAACCCACCCGATGCGTACGGCGATGGAGAACGCCGAAAGACGCGAAGACGGCGGAGTGGGGCGTACCTTTTTCACCAGGACCCTCGCCAGGTCTTTCGTTGAGGGCTGTTGGCCTGAATAGGTCTCACCAATGGTGACCTGTTGGAGGGTGCTGGCATTTACTATACATAGTTATATAGTGTCAGCTTCATATATTGGAGGGGGTCAAAACAGGGTGACACTGGATGACCACCGACTTCAACAGAGCAAATTATCAGGGAGCCAACCTACCAGGGGAAAAGCAGCTTCAGGTTTTGACCCACTGCCATCTCATGGTCCAAGCAAACTTCGAAAACCATGTGGAACCTGCTCCCTAGCTCCTCCGAGGGAAACTCAAGTCTGGGTGGGTTGGAGACCTTCGAGTCGACTGGAACGAAGCGAACCCTTCGCGAACGAACAAAGTGTTCATTTACGTGTCCACTGTGTCCACTGTGACACAGAGGCGACATGTGGAATTCCTGCTGTCTTTTCTCTGCTTTCGGAGGCACACTGCTAAACAGGTTGATCCACCAAACCTTGTTCAAGCTCCAGCCTATTCCAGCCTTCAACTTGGGAACCACACTTCAAAACAGAATCCTTCCTTGCAAGTGGCTGGCGGATCGTGGCCCATCGATTGCATCCTTGGTGGAGAATCGGATGATCGGCGCGTGAATCGGGGTCACATGGGGTCACTGAGTACCATCGAAGTGCAAGTGAGACATGAATAGACTCCTTTAAAAAATCATAGTTATGTGGATGGCACCACCTGTTTGGTATGAAGACAACTCATGGTCATCCGAGTCGAAATCGGGGCCATGCCATGCATGTATGATTTCAGGGAGTGAACCTCGGCAAACTCTATGAAAGAGCTTCAAACAAGAACCTCGGCAATTGTAGATTCCTGACAGGTATCGGACGATCACTGGCTGCAGTCAATGAAACAAATTCATACATCGTATCCGGTTTATCTGTCAATTTCTTCCTATTCTTGTTGACCGGTGCCATCTGGGAATGGTATAACAAGTGCAAATGGGCCCTTATCGCTGCCCGATCTCGGACGCGATCGCATACAAACATTCAGGTCTCGATATTTGGAGTACTTGGCATCAGTGTGATGCAGCTCCAAAGGGGTGTCTTTTGCAGGCACCCCTGGTGTTCATGATCCGCTTAAAAAAAAACATTTCGCCTCATTTGGCGTTTACAGACCGCCCTCTTTTGAACTTTGGCGAAGCCGCGAGGGGCACTGCAGCTTACGACCGCTCAGCCCCGCAAGGTAGTTTTGATGGCAAAGAAAGTCCTGCGGTGCTCCAGCAGATGCATTTGTTCCAAACTGAATCCGACGTTAAAGTTTCTCCCAACTTTCCACCCAGTGAAACTAAAAACACCCCAATTCCCCCTGCAGGTCCACTGACCCTCCTGGGAGTTCCTTCCAAATCTTCCAAGTCTCAAGTTCACCTCTGTCTCGAGCATCGGCCTTTCGAAAACTCTCATCCGGCTTAAAGCCACCCACAGGGCTGGGAGCTTGTTCCTATATTAGTCAAAGGATGTAAACAGGCACTGCCGGACCCCGACAGCAAGGGCCAGATCGCAGTGGGCTCGACCGGACCTCAACAGCAACCGCCAGATCGCAGTGGGCGATACCGGACCTTAACAGCAAGGGCCAGATCGCAGTGAGCACTGCCGGATCTCCAGAAGCAAGCGCCAGATCGACGTGGGCGCCCCACTTGCTGATAACTCCAATCCAAAATCCCGGCAGTTCCAGCAACATCAAGCTCCTGTCGGACATGGTCTTCTCCCGCTTTTTCAGTCCACTTCGACATGGAGGAAAACACATGGTCAGCCCAAGGGATGATGACAGAGTCAAGAAACCGAGTCGGGCAACCACGGAGCAGCGTCAGGAAACCTGGGAGGGTAGCTAAAGCGTGGGAAGGTGACCGATTTGGGAGAAGCATCCGAGTCAGACGGTCAGGAAACCTCAAAACTGAAATGGAGAGAAGCCTGAGGAGCCAATGGTCGGATTATGACCGTGAACAGCCAGTTGCATCAACGATTCTAAAGAGAGACCCAAGTCTTCGTTGACCAATCTCTTCATCACACGGATGGCCCCTTCTTCCGGGCCCATCATCTTGTGGGCCTCAGCTGGAGCTGTAAGAACACCAATTCCTGAGTGCCCACAGTAGTCAAGAAACTTCTTGGGGGTGAAGTAGGTGGCGGAGTCGGTGATCACCCAGCGAGGTGCTGGATTCACCATGAGCCACTTGGTCATCGCTCGGATGATGTCCTGGATTCGAGGTCCTTCTTTGCCACCATAGAGCTTGTAGAACTCTGTCATGATGAGTCCAGAGGCCCTGTCTCGCATCAGGAAGAACTTTGCTTTCCTTTCACCGTGCTCAAGCTCGAAGCAATCCATGCCCAGGATCTCGAACAAGCCAGGAGCTTCTTTCAGACTTGCAACTGGGGCAGGCTTTGCCCGATTGGCTTCAATGCAAGCCGGGCATTCTAATGACCCAGCCAGCTTGATGGCCCACTCTGGAGCCTGGCAAGCACCGGCTCCATGAACTCTCAACATCTGTTGTCTAATCTGCTCAAGCTTCTTTCCGGTCGGAGGCTCAACCGGAAATCGACTGCGGGTCAAGGCAAAGACCCGTGGATCCTCATCACGAAGTTGCCGATGGTGTTCGTGATCATGTAGGACCTCACCCTTGGGGATGTCAAGCAAATAGCGCTCAGCATCTTTGGACAGTGGGAGATGGTAAGCATCCTCATCCCGTGTGAAGTGAGTCTGAACGGCTTTGCATACTGCTTTGACCAGCGGTGGAGGATAGTAAGAGGAAGCTTGCGCAACTGCTCCTCTACATTCGGCATGCTCCGTGTGTCCTGGGCACCGACGTTGCACATTGATCCAAAGTGTCCTGCAGGTCACTGCAGGTTGTCAACAAAAGCCACCCTTTTCGCACAAACATCTCTTGGTGTTTGCGGTCATAGGCGCAACCATCTATCCTGCACCAGTACAGAGGCCTGTTGTACTTGCGAGCCAGGAATTGCAACTTTCTGATGGCATGTGAACGCCATCCTTGAGCGGCTGAACTCGGCCACTCCCACGTGAGATCATCGCCCTTGGCCAATACAGGTTCGAAGGCGTCCACCGCTTCTGAAGCTCTTTTGAGGTCTCGTGATCTCTTCTTCTCAAAAAGTTGCCCACTCGATTTCTGACCTTGGTATCAAATTCACCAGCGAGGAGAGGCGAGTGCAAGGACGGCTCACCCAAGAGTGACGAGGTGTGTGTAGTGCAACTTCTTGCTTCAACATCGAATTCCCCCGGCGGCTCGCCAGGTCATAGCCTTCTTTGTAGTTCACTCGCTTCGCCAGGAATCCAGCATCGGTCATCTCCTGCGACAAGGCAGATTGAGGTGAGCAAGCAATTTCAAGAAAATCAGGACGATCCTGGAGCTGCACAAACAAGCTATGGAGCGGCATCAAAACCATCATGTCAAGCAGCGCTGCATTGAAAGCCATCTTCTTTGCAGCACCTGTAGCGACGAAGTTCTTTCTGGATTCATTGCGGTCCACTGGAGATTCTCCACCTTCTTGGAAGGAGGTCGTAGTGCTTTCGTGTTTGGTCTTCTTGAAGCCATGTTCAATCCTGTGGAACTGAGGACTGGGCCCTCTGTCTTCTCCTTCTTGACGGAGACAAGCTGTTCCAAAGCCGTCTTCAGGATCTCTGCCGCCTCGCTCGGATTTGCCTGTCCCTTGAGGCTTGTCTTCATGGCATCCACCAGGTCCCATGAACTTCTCCGTCACCTGATCGGCCGGCATCCCCTGTTTCTGCATGTCTTCCAAGGCGGGGATCCGGTCCCATGTGACGGCGCTCTCCCTGATGATCCTTCTTCGGAGTGTAGGAGAGCCTGAGACCGCATCGGAGGCAGGTTTCCCAGCATGCTGACTGATTGCTGCGGACTTTCGGAGTGTGCCTCTGGTAGCAATGGTAGCCTTGATGGCGAGGGTCGTCCAGAGCTGCAATCTTTGGGCCAGGAGCTGAAGGCATAGGAACTTCTTTCGACAAAACAATCAGCAGCAAATAACGTTCATCTTCACAAGGCCGTTGGTGGAAGCTGTTTGGTTGATGAAACATACACGCAGACTCACCCATGAGATGTGCAGTACCAGCTAAAACCAATGTCAAATTCAAATGCCATGTCGGAAGAATCTTGATGGGAACAGAAAAATATCCACCAGTGCTCTCTGCGGTGTTTCCGGCCTCAAACATGGAGGTGTGGTCAGCATATAGGAAACATGGGCACGCTGTGCAAACAAAACCTTGGAGCCAAGTAAGGGAGGTGTAGACGATGCTGCGTCGCCAAGAACATAAAACGACAAGTTTCCAATGGCCGTGTTTTCAATGTCACACCTGCTTGTAGCTTGCATTCTCAAAACATTTTCAAAACGAAATATGGGACGATCTTCTGTATTGATGCTATATGCAAACTGTCCATGCTCCAACAATCGTGACAACGACTCTGCTCCAACTGCGCTCTCTGAGGCTCCGGTGTCAATGACCACATTGGTGTACCGATTGTTTGCTTTGGCATCTTCATTCCAAAACAATGTCAACGAACAGACATCAGCAAAGAAGTTGGGGCCGTTGTGAGAACCTGTACCCTTTCCAAAACCACCACCAAAACTCGTCCCTTTGCCCTTGTATGCTGCTGTTGACTTCAATTTGCCTTTCCCACCAAACTTGCCAGGTGAGAAACGATCCGGACATGCTTTGTATGAATGCCCAGGTTGGCCACAAATAAAACAAGGCCCAAAACGGCCACTGCTCGAGGATGCACTGCTCTTGGAACCTTTTCCACCGCTAGACCCAATTGGTGATGATGGAGACATTCCTTTTCCGGATGATGATTCCGGGGCAAAGTATCCTCTGGCCTGTCTGACCTTTCTCACAGCTTCCCGAGCCTCTTGCATCGTCCGCTGAGCTTCAGCGGCCAGTGCATATGCTTCTCTCTGCTCTTGTTCTTCTGGAAGGTCGGAGCGTTCCTCCGGCTGGAGTTCATCAGCTTGTTCAAGCTCCTCCTCAAACCAGGTGTCATTCCACGCATCGGGCTCATACCACTGGTCCTGTGACCATTCACCCCATTCATCCCAGGCCGACTGATGGCCCTCATCAACATCCTCTTCATTGTAAAAGGCACCACGAAGGGGTCGGCGAAAAGGTCCTTTGGACTGCTTGCCAACTGTACCACTCTCGTCTTCGGCGAAGAGGGTGCGAAGTGCACGTTTCACCAATTCAAACTCTGTTGAATTCGAGGTCTGTGTAAGGATGTTCTGCTTTTCCTGTCGCCCCAAGTGGGCTGCTTGGAGTAAACGGTAGTCACGAAGTTCATCTTCCCAAAAGTCTGTCACTGCAGGGGCTGCTACCACTGGTATCATAAATTTGTGAAGTTTGTCATCGCGATGTGTGTGACTTTGATTTCATGTGATTTCACTTCGCCTGCCAAGACTCCACCATCTTTTTCAACATCTTGTACCGGTCAGCAGCAGTATTCAGCCCTAATGTGTACTCCAAATGCTGCCTGATTTTTGTCATCATTGGGACAAGTCCAGGCCCATGATAAACAGGGATCAACTATCTCCCATTGTTTGGTACAATCGGGAACTCCAAGTGTTCAATATGACCACGAGGCAATCGTACAAAAGAAGACTTCACCTTACGGAGATCCCGACGATGACCACGTCCTTCGGATGCCTGCTCCAGCAATCGGGCTGCCATGCCAGGCTGAGAGGGAGTAGACACCTCATCCGTCGCCCTGGTTGGCGTGGCAATGGACTTGCGCTGTCGATCATCTCGGGCCCTACGGAGAGCTTGCTGCATCTCAGTCCACAAGTCCTCATCGTGAACCAACAACTCAGCCATGGTCTCTCCATCACGACGTCGAAGGGCGTGCCAACGTTCAATACTTTGGAAAGAATCTGGCACAGGCAACTGTTGTAAAGGTGAAGCACGCAAAAAAACTGCAAGCAACTTTGTCAAGCCACCTTCTCCAACGTACTCTGTAGGGTCCAAGTGTCTCACGACAGCTTTGGCCGCACCTTGAAGACGTGACCACACTCTTGGAGCGGCATTTTTGCGTTCAGAGTCCTTCCAGCCATGCTCGAGCCATCGACAGGCAATGCTAAAGGACTCGAACTGCGCCGGATCGCCGTTCCAAGTGGGCCACAGTGTCATCTGGCATCTTCAAGGTGCGGAGCCCCTCACTGGATCGACCGGGGCTCCGCTACCATGAACTTGGTAAGCGGACCAACTAGTAAATGCAACACAATGCAATGCTCAATGAATCAACTGCGACCTGATAAGAACAGATACTACACGAGCAAACGGTGTCGAATGGCGCGCCGACCGATGGCGCACGAACGGTCCTTTTCACGTGCCTTGAGTCCCACCACTGCGGACAAGAAGAAACGGCTGTGGCATGAAGAGCTCACTAGGTGTCTAAAGGAAGCTGAATACTCACACTAAAGAAGTGAAGCCCTAAACCAAGGCCAAACAAGCCCTAAAAGAAGTGAAGCCCGAAACAAAGTCCAAACAAGCCCTAAAAGAAGTGAAGCCCAAAACCCAGGCCAAACAAGCCCTAAAAGAAGTGAAGCCCGAAACCAAGGCCAAACAAGCCCTAAAAGAAGTGAAGCCCTAAACAAAGGCCAAACAAAACCTAAAAGAAGTGAAGCCCCAAACCAAGGCCAAACAAACCCTAAAAG